ACAAAACATTCAATGCCTTATCAAGATTCAAGATTTATTTGTTGGTCAAACACAAGTAATAAAAAGAAAATGGTTGAAACTCTGGTTGGTTATACATGCAGAACATTATCTATATTATTTAAATGAATTTTAAAAGATCACTTTTATTTTAAATATCAAAAATATACAATATATATAAAATACATATAATTTTGTTTGCGAATAAATAAAAGGAAACACACATAAATACTCCCTACACAAAGGGTAACATACATTAAAAAGATTACGACACGACAACAACATACCATTGCATAGTTTGTATTCTTCAACACTGCACGCATCTGTACCTTGTCATTGTCGTGTCTAGTGTAAATGTGGCTTAACACAGGTACCCCACTACTTCATGATGTAAAAATAATGGATTTATATTTGCGATAATAAAATTAAGTCAAGAAAAAGGTGTACACATTTACTGTATTGTTCATAATACTGAATTTACTACTTTGATATATTGGAATCATCCTTACAAAGAATTTATTAATGAAAATGGTTTAAAAAGGTAACCATAAGGATAAAGACAACGAATCTCGTATATCTTTACCTGATTAAGATGGTGATGTTGATCCCTTGTGGGCATATGACACCATCCAAAAAAAAAAAAAAAATGGAAAAACACTAGCTAATGGTTAATAATGAATTCATTGATGGAAACATCAAATAGGATTAGTGTAAAGTTGTCCACAAGAGTTCATTAAAGCTGGTTTATAAACTGTGATTGTTCTTTCAAGCAAAAGAGGTAAAGTCTCCAATTTCAAGGGAAATGCGAACAAAAGGCTGGTTTTACAGTCAATTATTACAGAGTCTATAACAATGCACAGCTGATAATATCTCAAAAATTGTATAAATTTATTTATGAATGACTTTTTCTTCTTTTTTTTTTTTATTGTAACCTGGGACAATTAATTAATTTTCATGTGCATAATTATTAACTATTTTAATTCACAGTGGAATAAAAACAAAGTAAAATAAACAGTGATAAATTGATGAAATAAACAACATTATATTGAAAAAAAAATTAGTTGGATTTATAAAGCCGCATTTTACAGTTTACCTATTAGTCTCTTCTTGAGTTTTAAATAAAATCATTAAATTGAATTATGAATTATAAGACCATTATTTTTTTACAACCATGTTTTATGATTGGTCATTATCTGACCTTTTTGACTCTAGATCTTCGATGGTCTTCCCTAACAGGATACATTTTTATTAAAATAAAAACTTTTTATGAAGTTTGCAGAGTGAATTTGCTATGGTAATAAAAAGGGTATTTTTTTATCATGATTTTGAACAGGAACAGGAATTTATACCACACCTTTTACCAAAGGACACGAAACACAATAAAAATAAATAAAAAATAGATAACAACTGGCATTCAACAATGACACCATATAAAACAAATATTAGACAATGAAAAACTGGACAGTTCAGCAAGATAAACTTTGGAAACAAATGTTTCTTCAGAAGTCGACAAAACCAAAGATAACAAGAACAATTTCTTTTTGTGTATTCGTATATTCATAAGATTTCCTTGAGGAACGTTATTGAAAAAAAGCATTACAGTAATCAATCTTGGAAAGAAAAAGTGTTGGGACAACCTTATGACAGGTGTCAAAATCGATGTACAGACCACAAAGCATTCTACCAATGGTCTGGGATAACCGGGTGACATGCATATATACTGAAAGGCAATCAAACCAACAAATTGTGGCTCACCCTATAAAAGTGTAGGATATGAGTGAGCGTGTGAAAACCAACGTTCAGCTCAACTATTTCCTCACGTAATGTTAATTTGTTTCTTTTTGTAATCCATTGCCATGTTTATTAAGGTTGTATACCTCATGAGTGATCACTAAAAAGAGCAATCCACTAAACATAAATCCCAACACACAACAGGAGAAACACATAGGGCTCCAGGGACATGCATTTCAACATAGATAAGACATAGACATGTGTACCTTGTGCGTATTCCAAAGATAATTTCCTTTTTCTTAATGTACATTAGGATTTTTACAAGATCAAAGATGAAGGACCTCACATGTTGTCTAGACCGCATTCTTAGATGAACACAGACACTTCGAAAACAATATCCCTACAGACTTCCATATCTGGATCTGGGTGTGTATGACTAATTGTTTTTCAATGGTAAGTAAACAAGGATTTGTGTACAAAAATCTTAAGTTAAAAGCTTACAAGCTGAAAAAAAATTACATGTTTCTTGTCCACTTCAACATGATTTTATGATTGTTGTTTTATTCCTCCATAAAGCAAAACACCAAGAAAATCCTACAGAAGTTCAACCATCCTGATAAACAATGAGTCCATTGGTGTCTAGGCCTGAAGCAGGCCATCTTTGTGAAGGAAAAATATAAATTTTTCCTTATTATAATCAGAATAATCTTCACACATTCCATGTAAGTTATATTAAGTTAATTAGTATATCATACATTTATTATTATATTATATATCATTTTTATTATTATTATCATTTTTAGGATGATTTTGTAAGAACACAGAGTAGGAGAGAATCTAAAGTCTATTATCAAAGGGTACAGAGTGGTAATAGGTCCGACTGTGGGGGTTCCCTTGGAACAGGACCCTATCTCAAAAAGGACTACAGTACCACAAACTAGAGGTCATCCTTCGAAAGAAATACGATTTGGGTGCCACCTATCTTGTTGTAGTACTTTGCTTTTTGTTGCAAAATAAGGATAGTCGGACCTCTTGCCTTTATATACACTTTGTAGTACAGTATGTACTCTTCCTATATAGCAAGCTATTTAAGCTTTATTATGTATGATCAATTTTATAGCAATGCGCTTTGCTAACCCTGCCCAACACTTTAATTTTTCTATAAAATATATTTTATACTGACATTGCTTGTATTATACAATTTTTTTTTATTTGATAGTGTGGACTGAGCTTAGCAAAAGTTTTAGGCTTACCTAGATTTTTTGACAATAATTTATTGCAAGTGGGGGTGGGGGGCTGGGCCGGTTCCGGGGGCCCCACCGGGGCTGGGCCGCTCCCGGGACCCCACCCGTTTGGAACGTAAAAACAAAAAAGAAAGAAAGAAAAAGAAAAAAATTGATTACCAAAATTCCTCAGAGGTTATTTTTGGGCATCTAGAAAAATTTTGTGGGGGCTGACCCCGGGCCCCCTTGGGTGGTGTATTCTCAATCAGCCCTACTTTTGGCCCCCTTTCGGACATATCTGGATCCGCCCCTGATTGCAGAGTATCATCATGATATTATTAACTCTTTGTATCTATTTAATTTAAAAGGCAGTATTAATTACTTTGCAAAAGAAACTTGGTGAATGAGGAGCTTGTATATAATGAGCAGTATGTCCTTCACAAGGTTAATGAACTACAGTACAAGGTTGCTAAATGTGTGCAGACAGGACCTGACACATGCTTATTGAAGATCCATATTGTTCTCGCCCTCTGACATGTACAATTAAAAGCACATCAATCACCTACTTTTGACTCTACATTTTGACAAATGATCTGCTAATATGCAAATGACCCACAAATATGCAAATTATCTGTCAATATCTGTTAGAAAGTTCAAATTTAATAGATTTTTTTGTTTATGATTATCTGTTCAAACATTGTCTAGTCCAAACTGGGATACATTAGCACGAAAATACTTACGATGGCTAGATCAAGGAGGTATGAAAATATTGGCTGGATATAATAAATAACGATACTGATTTTCGGTTTTAAATCATATGACAGACCCTACGTATAGGGTCTGTGATTATATCATTGAGGCCTAAATATCTCAAATTTACATCTTCGCCTTTATTGGTCGATTGAAAATAATTTTATAATCTGCCTAAATATCTTTTGGCAGTAAAGTTCCACAGTTTGAGAAACTGATAGAACTATACATTTGGACCAATAACAATAATATTTTCATAAATTCGTTCTGAAAATAGAATGCTTTGTAAAATGCATTTAGAAATATTTTCTCTTTTGTTTATCCTCCAATTGTTTAGGGAAGTGAATGATGGTAATTAGTATGCCTATACTGTACTTTCTATTCATAACATTCTTAATAAGATTCTATTTCTTTTATGTTATTTTTATCTATCACAGACTGAACATTTTGTTGATAACTATCATACCTTAACTTAAACTATTTAGAAGTTAAGTAATACAAATTTTGAATGTTTATTTTAATATTTTGAGGTTTTGAGTGTTGTAAAATCAGCCTCTAAAACACTACATTTTAAGTTGTATTAAAACAAGCAAGGTTTCAAATTACGCTCACCAATAACTGTTCAAAACCATTGTAGTTGAATCTATAACTTATAATATTATAATAGGTAATAAAACATCAATTACTTTACCTAAAACAGTATAACCATAGCAAAAATCAGCAAAGAGTAACAGCAAGTATTAATTGCTAATAAAATTTGTGTAATTCCTATATAAAAATTATTTGGCTAGAAACTATTTAATCAATATTAATTATTAATCAGCTTTCATTTCATTTCATTTATTTCGTCCAAAAAACATTGACAAACACACGAAAACAGAGAGCACAGGAAACAAAACTCAGTTGGCCGGACAGGATTGGCAAAAAGTGAACTCAATCACTGTCTAGTAGCTCTCCGATGCCAATGAGAACAAAAATTATTAAAAAATTAAATTAGCATAAAATATTCAAGTAAATAGGCTAATCAATAAAATTTAAAAATATATATGTACAAAATCATCATTGAAATCGGTCAAAATACAATAAAATTTGAAAAAGAAGAATGGTAATTACGAAAATAAATACTAAAGAAACCATTATACATTTACAAAAGAAAGTTACACATTGTATTAATGTATAAAAACAAGAATAAATTATGTCAAATTTACTTTCGTAATCAATAGGTCTACCTGCGTAACATTAAACTTTTTCTATAATCATATGAATAACAAATATCTCATGAATAAAAACAGTTCCACTCCCAAAAAGACTTAGTTTAGAAAGCATCATTCCATCATGTATTTGGCGAGATACTTGCTGGTAGAAAAAAAAAAAGGTAAAAGAGGTAAAAGTAAGGCACAAAAAACAAAATTTCAAAATGAAGATATGGTGAATCTTCTTTATTTTAAACATTTAACAACTACTACACTCGCTTCTTACAAGATGGAATGAGGCTTTATAAACCAAGATTGAGGCCTAGGAAGTGGAGATGTTTTTTAGGTGTGAGAAAAAATCCTGCAGTAACAGGGCTCGAACCAAGGACCCCGAGATTGGAAAACAAGCATCTTAACCACCCACCTACAGCTCCATCAACTTGGTTGATAAAATGTTAGTTTCAAGTAAAAAAAAAATGATCAGATTTGTAATTAAGATTCAATCTACCTATAAAATATTCATATTTTGCTATGAATATTCATAGCAATAAAAAAAAAAAGTAGATAATTAATGCTCCTTATCCTAAAGACCTTCTTACTTGTTTGAAAAAATGTTACAGTTTCCAGTAATATACATCCCTCGTAAATAATATAAAAATACCAACTTGTAAAGGAGCATAGAATCATACATGATGATCGACTAGTCGGGAAAACTAAGCGGTTATGATTACAGTCAACTACATATATACCGATATAAACACAAATGCAGAGATTGAGTTACGACTCTGTTGTTTTCTAAAACAATTTTCACAGTGGTCTTTAATCATACCCCTTGTTTAGATTTCAGTAAAATCATAATATGTACTTAACAAGTCTTATAACGAGCTAGTATTTATGGAAGCCCGCGTGCGTGGCCCCGCTGTATTGTAAGTAAATATCTGGTGTTGGCAAAGAAAAGTAACAATTATTTATCCATGCAACAATTACGGAGTTTATGGTACTTAGGTGGAACTCGTAGATAGGGTTTGACGATTGGTTTTAGCTTAGCTAGTCGAGCGCTAGTATGTTGGAATAACATGGGGATTGTTGACTTATCTTGCAAGTTTGCTTACAGAGTAAACTGTAATTGCAGGAGTATTTCAACCATGTATTGTTAATTGTGTAGCTGGATGTTATCTGTAAATGGCCAAGGCATGCCCTGTACATTATGTTGACTATGTTTACTTTGGTAGTAATAAAACAATATATTGAGTTTTTTTTTTATGATGAACAGCAATAAATTTCAATTATTTGCAGGTATTTTGTGCATATGCTGAGCTATTCAAATATAGTAAAGAAATTATAATCCATTAATGTATGATCAGAATATTATTATATCATTATAATATTCCTATATGCATTATTAAATTGTTATTTACATTAATTATAAGAAAATTTTTATTTTTATTTTATCATAGTACAAGACTTACCAGAAATCGAGTCATTACAGTTTTTGAATAAAGCTATATAATAAATATAATAATATGAATTAACCAGTATTAGTCTCCGAAATTTTGAACAAAAATAGTAATATATTCTGTCTATATAACCTTTACTTCAATCACCTTTACTGAGCATTTTACTAATTAATTTACTAATAAAGTAAAATAATAAAGGTATAATACAGGCAAATGTAATTAGTAAAGATTTACTTTGAAAAAGTGAATTTTCATTTATTTTATTAATAAATTGTTTTGAAAACCTTCATTTATTAATATTGTTTGAATATCTTTTTATGATACATACAATATTTCTTTATAGTCAACATGGTATAAATAAAATGTAGGTTATTGCTGTAAGCATAAATCACAATAATACTAAAAAGAAAATGCTTAAACATTATATAGTAAATATATTTTAGATATATGGGGTTTAAATTTGTAAGAAAACACCGTTTTGAGAAAATCAACTTTAAAGAAAATACTAAACAACTGATAAACATCCTTAATACACACAAAGCAAGACAACATACCGGTAATATGAAGCCTTAATATCAGCTTCCTTTAGAATGAATTACTTTCATAAAACATTGTTGAAATAATCATAAATGCAAATATATAAGTAAATAATGATGACTGAATTAATGAATAACTGGTTTCAATAAATAAATAAATAAATAATGAATAAAAATGAACAAATAAATTTAAAAAAAATTTAAATTAAATAAATAAAAATAAACATGCACCCCTCCCCTGTTTCGTCACTGCTGTTGTTTATTTGTAGTTATTATAACAGAAAAATAACACAAAATGGCATGAAAATACTAAACATTACAATATTCCGTAACAATATACTAAACAAAAATAATACTAGATACTTATTTATCCGTATATTACACAGGCGTATATGAACATATTGCCCCCTCCTCCTTCATTAAAAAAAAATTCTGGATCTGCCACTGTATTGAATTATAAAGTCAAAATACTGTACACACTAAAATACATTAAACATCATTGTTTCTAATGGTAGTCTCCAATGTTTAAATATGCTAATTTGTTATACAGGATGAAAAACATTGTTGAAAATGATTCATTTCAATTCATGAGAAAATCAAACTTGTATTGTAATGATGAATGTATTTGATGAATATTTGAACATGTAAAATTAAACAATGATCTACAAACATTAATCATTCAGGATCAATGGATCCTTTGTGAGCAAATTACCAGCAAATTATATTTTATTTTTACATATTTCTTCCTACTATATGAAAATTTGAATAATTTGTGGAGCTTGTAAAAATTAGTATGGATATCAACCAGCATATTATTATAAATACAAGCATAATCAGATGCACAGTGGGATACCTATTTTGTTGTTCATGATGAAAAAATCAACTATTATTTTATCATAAATTTCCATGTCACAAACTTTATCAAATGATATCATTATCATTATCATTATTAGGATTAAGACCTAATCTCAATCATTATTAGAATCCACATCATTGATATTCTGCTAACATAATCACTATCATGAGTATCATAATCATTACCATCATCACCTACAACATCATCCTTATCATTATCAATGTTTTCATCATCACCATCAAAATACTCATCATCATCATCTTCCTCATGATCAATATTATCCTTACATATGCATAAACATTAGCATCACTACTATAACTATTAACAACTGTACCACACCAACACAGTAACGATCATCACCTATCACACTCAATATCAATGTCATCGCTATCATCATTATCATAACAATAATCATCATTTATCAATTAATAATAATAATAATAATTGCACAATCATACTGCAATGATGATCATCATCACCTACCAACTTAACTATCACATTCAACGTCGACGTCGTCGTCGTCATCATCATTTACATATTTTATAAATTAACTTTGTCATGATCTAAAGTAAACATTATATTCAACCTCACTACCCCCTCACCACCATCCATTATATTTAATATGGTTGTCACTCTGATTATTACCTCAACGTAATCCTTTGCATGTCCCCAGTCCCTCTGTGCATCCAGATTTCCAAGGCATACTTCTTCTCCGAGTTTCAAATGGATTTTAGCCACAGCTCTTGTGATCTTCCGAGTTACAAATGTTTCCCCTAAAAATACAAAAATTATGTATTTAATTTTAATTTCAAACAATTAATTACATTATACATGTTATGTTCTATTTGAGTTATATAACTTTTGACACCAGTGTTTGTGTTTTCAATATTTACTATTTTTTCTCTTTAAGTAATGCTTTAAAGTGATTTAATTGATTATAAGTTAGAATACAAGCATATGTATCACTCATTTATAACTCAATTCATTTATTTCCCCAAAATAATACAAGAATATTGATAGATGAATAGACCTATAGATTTGCATACAAATATACTTTTGCTTTGGTAATAATTTTTTTTTTTAAATACAAGATATTATTATAATTATTATCATTCAACAATATTTCAAAAGGTGGCTCTTACTGTGAATATGACTCAAAGAGGCCCTCATATATAAGAAGTTTGGATAAAGTAACTGTATACAGATAATTATTATTATAATATACTTTTTTATAACATCAAAGTGTTGTCTGTATTAATATGCAAATTTTGTATTCTGATGTCCATACTATTAAATTTTCTTTCACAAAAAAAACTGTTGTATGTCCATATATAGTCATGATGTGCCTATATGGTCATGATGTGATGTCATCATGACCATATTTAGGAACATGCAAATGCAATAGTAAGAACAGGACTTAAGTTATTGGAAATTTTAAATAAATGTTTGTATTTGGTTCAAGCAGATAATAGCAGCTCTACACTGCAAATGTAATATTGAATTAAATACAATTCTAAAAAGTAAAATAATTAAAAAATAAGAAGGAAAACATTTTTAATAAAATTTAATTTCATTTTATATTAAATTATTTGGTAGAATGAGGAAAACATTAGTAAAACTGCCAAGAGTTATCATTGGACTGTACTAATTAGGTTTGACAGTTTTTCACATGGTGTTCGGATTCAGGCAAAGATTTAAAAAGGTGTTCTCTTTATGAGTATAACCGACAGAAAGACAAAAGAGAGATTAGCAGGAGTGAACTGCTCATGTATGCGGTGCAGTCAATATCCGTGAATATTCCATTCCCCCTGTTGTCAAAATCAATGATGGCCCAATATTAGCACTGTAAACGCAAATCAAATTCTTTGCTAAGAAAACAACAAGCTTGTTAGGTACTAAGTCCTTATGAAAATAGATCAATTCCACAAACTCATTATACATATGAGAGTTGCGCGTGGCACAAATTGGAGCCAAAAAAAAAATTGGCACAGGCGGGCGAGTGAGAAAGCAGCTCTAGGGCAAATTGCTGGCCTAATAATACATCATTGTCTTTGTATTCACCGTCCGCATCCAAGCAAACTAGGGTTTGTAAAGAAGCATAACTTTGTCATTATTTAATTAACATTAAATAAAATAATCAGGTATTCAAAAAACAATAACAATGATACCATATGTATATTACTTTATTTTCATTATTGATATCATTAGTATCAATATTAATCATTTTATTATTCTTACAATATTATTTTTATTATTAATTTTAATCTTTAAATTTTAATTATTCACATATATACTTTAATATTCACTGTTCTTATCAATACATTCATGTAAAGAAAAATACTACTTTATATCATTTAATTAATAAGTAAGTTGTAACATTTATTAAGGTTTATCATCAACTTCAGTATAATTTAAGGTCAAATTTCAATAAAAGTGCGAATTCACATTCATGACTGATATTTGCTAGGTTATAAAATATATTTAATTAAATAATGCAAATATATTAAATATATCTTTATCGAAATCCTTCATTAAATATTGTAAAATAACAATGAATTTTTTTGTACACCAGCAATTTTTATATATTTAGTATTTAATTGTCAATACCCAAATGTTTTTAAATGTTATTTTATAATTTTGTTTTTTAAATGTTTTTTAGTAAATTAAAATATGGCATTTATGCACTTACTCATTTTTATTATTATATATTATTATATATTATCAAACATCATTGATCTCATTTTTATTATTAAACATCATTGATTAACGTTGAATAAATCCATCAGCTTTCAAGAATTATTTGAGTAAAAATATTTTTTTGTCATTGTTTGCTTTTTTTTTTAAAGATAAATTTTAATTAACTGTATATATTATAATAAAATATAGCAACAGGTGAATTTCACAGCAAATGATTCGAACCTCCAACCTCAAGGTTGAGAGTCCAAGCCACAACCGTTGTGTCAACTGCTTCCAAGAACAACACAAAAGATTCACTGAACTAGGTTCCGCACATGAACTTCATTCGTCATTTGCTATGTCTCCATGTTGCCTTATCATGTTGTTATAGCATTTCATAAAATGCAATAGAAGCGAATCTAATAGGACTATTACCGTACCATGTTTATATAGAATCTGCTTTATTTTCATAAACTTCATCCTTATAATTTTATATCTTTTGTCTTCCACATTTCCATACATCTTTACACTTGTTTTCATGGCGTAGACATTTTTTGTATTTTGCGCTTTACAAATCCAAAACTATTAACTCAATAATAATCATTTTAATATATTGTCACTGTATTCCTATTGTAGAGATATTTTTATTATAATATATTGATACTGTATTCCTATTGTAGAGATATATTCATTTGTACCAGAATTTTTTTATCTTGCTATTTTTTTAAACAAATGAACAAAGGGTCATTAGTGTGATTACAATAGATTTGTACAATAATTGTTTTCACTTATTTTGTTTGTAGATAACAATCAGATTTTTAGTTATTGTGTTTTTGTGATTTTATCAATTATAATACAAATTATGTACAACAAATTTATATTGAATTTTTATTTCATTTATTTTTTTAGGCGTGCACACACACACACACACACGTGCTAAGTATTGCCAATAGCGAATATATCACTGTTCAACAAGTAGGTGACAATCCCTTACACAAACATACACACACAAACAATGCATTACAAAAACTAAATCTTAATGTGGGGTTTTAGAAAGTGGATGTTTTGGGCATGAGAAAAAACCTGCAACACTAATAGAAATTGAACCCAGGACCTGGCAATAATTGAAAAGTAAGCATCTTTACTACCAAGCTACTAACTTCCCTATGTGGAGACATGTGGTCTTTAATAGTAATAGGCATTGCTTTAAACATTTAAACTTGGGCTTATAGATGTGCTATGCAACTGCCAATCACATAGTAAGAAGCTCAAGATGTTTCAGTTTCAACAATCATAGAATGATGAATATAGGGCACAGTATTTCTTTAATTTCAATCTGTGAGAAAGTCACTAAATACAAATAACTAAAACCCTTTTTTGTTAGCGGCAACAAATACTAACACACTTCCCAGATTAAGATTTGGTGGCAAAATAATCATAATAATGACTCTCACGAGTACTTAACTATTATCAAAATAATCTGGAGGGAGAAAATAATTTAGATTTAGAATTTCACAATAAATATGTTTTTATTTTGTGACTTATTAAGTTCTAATGTATGCACAGCTTTGGTGGTTGGTGGATGAAGTAAGTATTTAGAACTTCAAATTAAATCCTAATCAGTAATACCAATAATATATACTACCGTAGTTGTAAATAAAACAGCTGTAATACAAAATGTATGGACTAATAAAAGGCATTAAAAAAAAGTGTATTTCCTTAAGTCTCAAGTCGCTAATTTAATTAATATTATGATTAAATAGTCACATTGTAGAACCAGATGGCTGGGTGGTTGTAAACTGGGCTCTAAACCTTGAGGTCAGGGTTCAAACCGATGCCATGCATTTAGCTTGTGTCATTAGGCATAGCACATTAGGGAGCTTTGCGACTGTACAGTGTTTTTTACGGGCATTTGTTCTAATGTCCGAGCAATAATTTGCCAAGCGCAAAGAGGTTATCACGATATGCACGTTACCATGCTACTACTTGTATAAAAACTGCGTTTCCACAAAAATGGCTGCACGCTGTCGCCGACTTCTTTGGAGAAGCTGATTGTTCAGTTGAATCAGGGATCAATCCTAATTGCGTCGAAGACAGCTACGCAGTGCAAGAATTGCAGTGAAAACACTGTTGCGACTGTGGAGCGATTTCATAGAAACTTGGCTTTATTGTTTCATACTATTACTATTTTATAGCAATAAACTAAAAGCATAGTGAAAACAATTTATCACGGACTAATTTTTTTTGTGCAACTATTATATTTATTGTGCTCTTGAAATTTGAAATTTTTGCAAAATTGAAGTGTACAGTAATTGTTGATAATGATATTGTAATATTGTATTATAAATTTGCTATTAGGTTTTATTTTTAAATACAATTGTATGTAAAAATGTAGGCCAAATATTTATGAAGATTTTATTTATTTTTAAAGTTATACTGATGTTAATAATTGTTGAAAAGACATCATTACATTGATGTAATAATATATTTTTAATGACTTACATATTAGATTAGATTTTTCAATTTCATTTCAGCTATGTTTTATACCTACAAAGTACAGATACACAATACATTACTATATAGGCTTGTGCCTAATTTATGGTTTACTTTGATTTATGTAGGACAGGGTTCTAAATAACACCATGGCTTCTCCATAGTTGCAGGTGATGCCTAGTAATTGGTTCCCAACAGGTAAGAGCCTAGCCAACGAGTGACTTCCTCCATCAGCAGGGTGCTTGCTGGGGTCAAGATACATTGAGATGTGGGTCTACAGATGGCTGTCAATAGGTATCACCCATCACATATATAGATCATCAGTACAGTGGTGAAATTTCCGACAAAAGGGGTCTGAGCCAAGGGTCAGACTAAGAGCCTTGATCAGGGTCCAGGAATAGAAGTGCCTGGTAGGTGTCTTAGGGGAGAGTTGTTATGGCTTAGTATGGCTCAAATTGTGTTTTTAGACCATAATAAGGGATTGGTAATCTAATGACGTTATTTGGAAAGGCAAATTATTATTTTTGGTCCAATGAACTCGTCATAGCGACCGACGAGGGGGGGGGGGTCAAATTCTGTCTAACTGGAGGGCAAATGCCCTCCCTGCTCTCACTCTAGCGCCATCACTGCATCATTATACATTTTGTTTTATAAGAACCAGTAAAATGTTTGCCTTACCTCTGTGTCCTTATTTTCTTATCTTGTACTTATTTTAAACACTTTTCAAACATTATTGTAGTCCTGTACTGTATTTTAGAGGGTATTACATAATCACACCTACTGCACATAGAGTACAGATAAGATTTGTTGGCTTTCCTATTTTTTTTTTTAATGAAAACTTCAATTTAAATTTTACCTCAGCCTCATTTTTTTCCCTATTTTGTTCTTAATTTTTAAGCAATTTCAGAGTCTGCATTCTTATCTTTATATATATTACATTATATCATTATATTACATCATTTTATTATATCTATTAATTTTGATTTGTTCAAACCTAAGTTAAAAAGATATTTCAATGATATTTATTTACATTATTTTTGTTTTTTCACTTTTTATTGATTTTACTTTTTTCTGGGAGCAGCACATTTCTAGAATGAAATGGTTTTGGTTTTCTCCTCCCTGGCTCACCTTTTACTCTTATATGTCTGTAAATTGCTGATTTTCTTTGTTTTTGTAATGTTTTACATTATTTATATAAAAAATAATAATAAAATAAAATATCATGCATCTTGTATAACTACAAGTAAACTGGATATGGACACAACTATTAATACTTCCTTGTTGTAGGCCATTCCCTTGTTATCTCACTGTATACAGTATTAAATGTTTGCTATCCCATTTGTACAGTCTCCCATCTGGACAAAAACTAGAGATCAAATTTTACAAGATACTCTTAAAAGCGCTCCTGTTATTTCTTTCATAATGTTAATGGAGAAAGCGTGCATTATCAAACACGGTGGATGAAGGACTACCTATCATTATTATAGTCAATCTTTAATTTTACAATGTGAATGGGTTTCTGTGCTTGTCTGTGCATAGAAATCATTGATTAAGCAATGGTTGCTGTGATGCTCAACGCATAATTATGCTACATGTACATGTCAGTCTTCAGGTACCTATCCTCTCAAGATTGTAATAAAAATAAAAATAATTTGCAGGTAGGGACTAACAAAAGTATTGGAAGGATTGGGTAGTTATTGATAAAAGTTGATACACAATGTAACAAGCTGCAAATAATAGTAAAAATCAAATCCACTGTCGTTTGGCAGTGGGGGAAGGATGCACAACAGATTGGTTTGGATTGAATTTCTTCTGGTGTGGTACACACCAAAGATAACTTACAAAGTCCTGAGAGATATTTCCAGTGGGGTCCTTCTGGTGGTGATTGGGTAGTACACCGGGAGACAATACCACTCTTCCAAAGAGTGTACTGCATTCATGCACATTGGCCATCAGGCCCATAGCCAGGTTCTTCCAAGGGAGGATTTTCTGGGCGTGAGGTGCACAGTTGAAGCCCCGGTGGGGTCGGCGAAACCCCCAAAGCAAGAGGATTTTTGTGCTTTATGGGTCTAAATAACATGCTACAAAAGCAGATATGTTTGAAAATGTCTGTGTCTGGGTGGGTCTGCAGTGCATTAGTTGGGTTGGAGGACTTATTTGGGAAATTTAAAGAGGGGGTTTTGCCAGAAAAGGGGGTTCTCCCAAACCATAAAAACCCCCCCTGGGTACAGGCCTGGCCATGTTGTACACAGAACCGACAACTTAAACGCCTCATCTGAAAGACGGTGCGCTTTTGAAAATTGCATTTCAGCCCTCCAACCGAAACACAAGGACAGCAGCAATGGGTATTAAACCAGGGACAAAGAGATCTCCACGGTTCAGCGCATACACAGTGGCTACCACCAGTTTAGCCGACGGAGCTAGCTGCTTTCATCAAGTCAACGATCATCTTATAGTAGTCTGCTGTTGACAATCGGCGTCCTATTGTCACATGCTTAAAGCTCAGTTTCCATACAATTGCTACAGTCGCTACACCGTTTACACTGCACCCTGACACAATCGAGAATGCTTCCTGATTCAACTGACCAATCAGCATCGTCATAGGAGTCGGCGATAGCGTGTAGCGATTTCATGGGAAACAGGCTTTACAGATACCAGAGCTGGATTTGTAGGTCAACGGTCCAATGTCTGCCTGGCTATAGAGTACATTTACCAAAAATGTTGCGATGTTGCAATTCGGTACTTCTCAGAACAATGACCCCCCAAATGAAATTTACACTGCGGGCCACAAGCCTGGAGCTACAGTACCTTGCCCAGTAAAAGTACAAACCTCTTCTTGGGCTTTCGTGGTTAAACAGGATGCCATTGCAAGCAAACATGTTGTAGGCTTCACGGAAGTTGATAGTGATCCAGTAAGCATAAAGCTTGGCTGCACCTATTGAAAAAAAATATATAATAAAAAATATTTAATAACGTTCAGCATTCATATAGCGCTATTGTAACCAATTTTACACCTGGTGAATGGATACAAGAATTAGGAAAACATTACAACGTCCCTGGGAAATATACTGTACCTAGTTGGGTTGTAGTACATTGGAGACAGGCCAATATATTCAATACCGTAAAACCTAGAATTGAAGTCCTAGGCTTCTTCTTTCTTCTGCGAACTTTAGATGAGCTTCTTTTCAAGATAAGCTTCTTTTTAAGATGGGCTTCTTTTCGAGGCTACTTTTGCAAAGTAAAGAGGGGGCTTCTTTTCAAAATGAGTGCTGTAAATTTTGTGAACTTGTATTATAAAACAATAAATACGGCCACTATAACATCAATCTGTATCATGGAGTGTATTTAACTGACATTAAATTACCTAAATTACTGTATAAACCAAGCTTGTTTTTGATTTGTTTTTTTTAAAATTCATGTAAGTGTATACTGTACTATCTCGAAAAGATGCCTATGCTATCTTGAAAAGAAGCCCATGGGCTTCTTTTCGAGGCTAATTTTGCAAACTAAAGAGGGGGCTTCAATTCCAGATGGGCTTCATCTCGAGATTAAGCCCACTGGGCTTCAATTCAAGATTTTATGGTATCCTACCAGGTACCCATCTAAATTGTCAAAATTTTCGGGAGGCTTCTCCCCCTGGACCACTTTTAAAACCTTTTAATTGAAGATCGACCACGCCCACCTTATTTGCGTCAAAGAAATCTGGTCCCTCGTCGGGGGAATCAGCCCCTCCATCGGGGACCTCGCCGCCCTCCCCCCCCCCGGTGGGCAAATCCTGGCGCCACCCCTGTATGTATACAATTTGACTACAGTATTTGTTTTTCTGTGTAACAACAAAAAACATGACCTTTGTTATAATAAATTATATATGTATATGTGTATCATAATAATTCAATAACAGTAATAAACTTTCATATGATAAATAAATTTATTATGACAATAAAGAGATCACCCTGTAAATTAAAGAATGAATAATAACAATTAAAATTTTAATACATATTTATACATATCAATAATACCATAATAATACCGGTATTTCCCAATCGTGTTGTAAAACAGTAATATTCATTTCCGGCACTTACTCTCATTATAAACTTAAATAAAGATTTGAGCTGTTTATTTAATAGGTTTCTTTTATCAAACAGAAAAGAGATTGCGTGCAAACGTTGGACAATAGAAGTTTCACTCTTTACCCTTTAAGTTTTATTTTTTGTAAGGTTTGTGAATTAAAGTTTAGAAATGAAGAGTTCGGTTGATTTCAAGTTTAGAAACTGTTAGATGCTTTCCAAGTCTGAATGTTCAGGGGTTTTTTGTCGAAAAGAAAAGGAATTACCAGCACAAAATGTTGAATAACACAATAAATATGTTTCACTATCTGCACTGAAAGTTTTATTTCAAGTTTAGAAATGAGGTTGGTTTTGTTCAAGTTTAGGAACTGTTAGTTTTTGTTCTTAAGCTTGGTTTCTACAATATGACTATATTGTCGCTACAGTATTTTTAATGCAATTGTTAAAGTATATAGCTGTTCCGGACGTGATCAGGAAGGCTCCAAGATTCAACCCACCAATCAGCCTCGCCGAAAAGATACCAGAGATTGCATGTAGCAATTTTATGGAAATCTGACTGAAAGTTCAGAGGAATTTAGAAATAAACATTTTAAATAAAGTTTGGGCAGTAACAGTTATGTTATCATAAATATACAAATAATCTTTTTCAATAATATATTCAAAAGTTGGTTTTAAAAACTTAACTTCTATGGCAAACATAACATAAACTAGCATTATTAATTCTTAAAGAACAAAAGAAACAATAAAACTTTAATTAATAATTGTATAAAGAAAGCTCAGATACAAAATTACATATTTAGAACTGCATAAATGTTAACAAATCCAGACCAAGAATACAATTTTATAGTCCAATAAAGTGTGGGTTATTCATTTCAGTCTACTTTATACTATTTAGAAAATAACCTGCATGTTTCTTCACTAAAAAATATCCTGATATTTTTTTTCTGGTATTCAGGATTTAATATATAAGAGGGGCAAGCAAAGGTATGAATTTATTAAATTTAGCAGTCAATAAAGAGAATAATAAGGCTCTGTTTCCAAGACCAACAGAGAAGAGAAGCATATTGTTTACGGAGTACTGCATATTAAAGCCAAGAAATAATTTTAACTTAACAGTTAGTTGCCTAACCTGCCATGGTCAATGCATCAGCTAATGTGAATTTGCCTAACTACAATCTGTCAGACAACACTGAATGAATGCAATATGAACACGCCTAACTTTATGAGATTCTGTTGTGTGCTGAAGTAGTGGTAATGACTGGAGGAATCAGACTAAATGAAAAGGGAGAACATTTAAACTATGGTTTACTATTACTGCTATTGTTATTATAAAGTTTCAAATTATTATTCTTTGGTGTAAAATGTTTCTCATGAATAGTCATTATAAACATAGGAATGATAGTCATATATATATTTTGACTACATAACATTGCATAAGATTGTTTACAGCCAAAATGTATCCTCAATAGTTTTTGAAAGAACTATTTGTCTCCAATATAATTTTTAGTGATTCTTATTGATAATAATTACCACAGATATATGTGAGAATTAATGCATGAATTCAATAATTTCAATTAGATAAGAGGATGCAATATTTCTATACTACAGTACACAAAGGCCTGTAACCAGGATTCCATAAAGAGGATTGGGGAGGTGGTGAGATGGGGATGATTAGAGAAATTACCCAGAAAAACCTATTCAGTGGCAGCTCTTTAAACAAATTTCGGGAGAGCAACATTGATTAATCTATCAATAAAATAATACAATTAAACTAGATGACTAAATAAAAAATATGTGTCTAAGTAGTTAAAACAAAGCCACATCATTAATTAATTTAAGTAGAATTTTATGAAGATGACAATGAAAATGCAGATAATGATGATAAACAATACAGATACAAACAAGTAGAACAATTTTTGTAATCCAAACAATAATTATTTAAAACAATTAGATTAAAATAAAAATGAATGAACCTCTCATGATAGCATTTATACTACTTATTATTCATTTTAAACATTGCAGAACAATATTTATTTATTAAATACGCTACTGGTATTGCAGACATGATTCACATATTATTGAATACGGTTCATTTTCAATTCCGTATTTCCAGCATCATTATTAATTATCAAGCTGTATAGTGATGTATAATTTTATGAATGTGTGATGGCTGAGGTTATAATAACAATGTTTTCACTCGGTTAAGCAGCAGCCGGGAAATGTGTGTCCGACTATATGTCTCTACATGGCCTTAAAGCGCTTGCGATAACGCTAAAGATAACATGCTAAATAATTCCAATGGATCATCAACTGCTATTTATCATGTTCAATGCCAGTTAGGAGAAGATGATATTTTCATTTTGCTGCCTAATCATGTTTTGCAATGCTGATAATTTACCGGTGAATCAATACCAAGAAACGCAAGCACAGTTTGGTGACTCAAGCAAGTCAAAATCGATAACCCTCATGGATCTTTTCCTCTCAGATTCAGGATGATAGCAATCAAAATAGCAGTGGTGATAATGATAAATTTTAATAATTTATCTTAGTTGATGAAGAAAACTGATTCTTGGTAATGCTAGAATAAAATGTTCAATGTTGATCAACTTATTCACCTGAAGGCGAACAGAGCATGCTTATAGCAACAAGAGAGGGCAGCAAACACAAAATATTAAAACACATGATTAGGAAACCTATTCAACCCGGATAATGAATCTACTCCACTGTACTAAGTATATGTCTAATCAAGGATTAAAATTTCATGGATTGTGTAGGACTACTAAAGCTGAGTACATACCACATCGTACGATGGTCATACGACTGTCTTATAACAAATCAAACTCTATTGTCTGTGAGTGCTGGATGCTGATTTTCAATGGTAGTCTGAATGCATCATCATTAAAAAATTGATCCGCTGCGCACGCTATGTTCACCATAGAATCATGTCAGTCTACGACAAAAGCAGTGGTGGCAATCCTGTCGTCCGAAGCCGCAACAAGGTCGTTGGACTAAAAAAAAATCTTCCTATACAAATAATGTTACTCTGACTGCCAATCTTTAATATTGTGGTCTACAGTAAAACACAATTTTGGGTCATCCTAAGCCATAAAAACTCTCCCTGTTAACCGTACCAGGGATTTTATTCCGGGACCCTGTCCAAGGCTGGGTTAGGACCCCCAATCGGACAAGTCGTAAATTCTGTTGAAAAATTTCTGAAGCCAGAACTGAGAGAGAGCACTAGCAGGAAAGAACCACTGGGGGAATGGATGTTATTTCAGGAGGGTGGGACAGACAACCCAGGGATGAGGGAGAAGGGAGAGTACCAAAAGAGGAATATTATTATTAGCTTAAAGCTTACTATTAGGCTGGATTGAATGAAAGGAATATAGTTAATAGTTCATAATTACATGGTAAGTAAATTACACTATATTTGTCATTGTTTGCGATAACTACTAGCATGAGGGCTGAGAAAACTTTGTTGACTGATTGATCAATTGATAATTGTTACGGTAAGTTTGCTCATGAGCCATATCCAGTGCTAGGGTCCGCATAATATTTAACTAAGATCTCTTAAGCTGGGCACTCATTGCATTGGGCAACGGTCATACAACCCACAGCCAGCGAATCCATCTCGACTCCCTGTGAGGGCCAGACGACCTGACACCGTCTGCTGGTTGTCGGTGGAAGTCTGAATGGATCCTCATTAAAAACGATCAGTTGAGCGTGCGTCGTGACGAACATTCTCCGTGGAATTGCGTCGGCCGCCGACGCCAAACGCCCACAATGAGTGCTTGGCTTCAGAGATAAACATTTTGAATAGTTCAGAATCTACAATGTGAGTGAAAGGAAAGTAATCAAACATTCAATATTTTGGATACTGTAACTTGAGTCTAATTTTTTGTTTTTACCTCCACTGTTGTTCACAATTTTTTTCGGTGTGCATAAGAAAATTCAAATGCAATAAATTAATTTATCTATTTGCTTTTATATCAACAGGGTATTGGTATGCACTGCTGATTGGCAACATCTACTGTTAAAAAACAAGAATATTGTATAGCTTAAACATTTTCACTCTTAAGGCGAGATGTTCGCAAATTCTGTTCTCCAGCTGAAACACAATGAAATTTACTGCAGAGCTCAAACTATAGAGGGCAACATTACACTCAGACTAAGACTTCAAGAAATCTTAGGGAAGATATAATCTCTCCCCAGGTTGATTGTTTCGATATTCTTTTGAATTGAATTCATGGAAAAATTACCTTCAAGGTTTATGCAGTCCTACAAAAAAAACATCTAGTTCAGGTAATTAAAAAAAAACATCTAGTTCAGGTAATTAAAAGAATTAAAGTATGTCTGATATTGGAAATAATATTTAGAAGTATTTGGAAGTATGCAAAATTTGTAACTAAACATGAATATAATAAAACAAAAGTGTAGATCAAATTTATTTATATAAGCGTTATTTAACACAGATTTTTATGGGATAGGCATCAGTTCTTGCTTTTTATGATACCAAGTTCTGTACTGAATTGGTTTGGATGTATTTGGTGTAAACACCAAGGAAAAAAAAAATTTATTTTCAGTGGGTGGTTCTGGTGGTGACTGGGCAATTTACTGAGAAACACCCTCTACTGCCCTCCGAAGAGTGTACTGGTTTCTTTAACATGCAAATGGACCATATTACAAACAAGATGAATGGTTTAAACATCTTATCCGAAAGACATTGCACTACTGAAATTTCCATTTCAGCCCTCCAGCTAAAACACAAGGAAAAGAGCGATGGGAATTAAACCGCGTAGAAAAAAGAAATATCCCTGGTTTAGCGCAAAACATTTTAGCCGACGAGCTAGCCACTCTGTAAGCGTGTGACAATAAATTAATGAAGTAAATTACTATTACTTACCACCCCCACTGGTGATAATTAAAGATGAAATATTATTTACCAGCAACATCAAACCAATTTCTAACATGCTTCAACCTACCATACGGAGATCGTGGATAAAATGGTGTTGTCTCCTTCTGAGGAATTTCTTGCACTTTGCCGTACATCTCGCTTGTTGATGCTTGGTAGAAGCGGGCCTTATCGCCAAGACCACACGTCCGTACAGCATCTAGAAGCCTCAAGGTTCCGATACCATCTACATTTGCTGTGTACTCTCCCATATCAAAAGAAACCTGTGAACAAATTATAAAATATGTACAGAGACTGTTTAATGTCATTTCATTTTCTTTTACTCAAGTTTTCCACACTTAAAAAAAACATTGTAAAAATGACAAAAACGCAAAAACAGGCCGTTATAAGTAATAAAGAAACTTTGCTTTTGTGTGTGTGTGTGTGTAGGTGTGTGTGTGTGTGTGTGCATGTGAATATGTCTTCTTTGTCAAGTTTTGTCCATGTCCTCTTTCTTTCTGTTTGTTTTTCATGTCTTTTTTTTTCAGGTTGACTAGTCACAAGATGATTTTTCTTCATGGATCTCTGTGCCGTTTTCCTTTTCTCCTGAATCTTGTATTATATTTTTGTACAAATTGAAAAGGAATCAAATAAATGTTACTTTGAATTGAATTGAAACAGTCCAAGGAAGTATGCTGCATTACTTAACTACATGTAAGTTTTTCAATATTTTTTTTTTTTAAGTTCCTATTAAAAGAGTCACATTCTCAGATATTATAATCATCCTCAATCAATTATGAAGGGAAGTCATTAATTAGAGAGTTGTGGATAGCTTACTAGATCAGAAGCTTACTAAAGTTACAAAGAATATTTTACAGTATAAAAGGGAGAGACTACATTGAAAGTAACAAGCCAAATACTTATCCCACCTTGTAAACATGACTTTTTTTTAATTTTAATTGTTAGAGCTTTCCTTTTAAGTTGAACCAAAAAAATTAGAAAACATTTTTTATTTAATAATTAATTTTTATGTATAGAAATATGTGTATTGAATATTTTAGGTTATTCTAATTTATTTATTATTGGTAATTCATTGATATACAAATGGTTGCATTATCTATTCAGACATGCCAACCCTACAAGGCCAACAAGAGGAGTCTGAAAACCCTCTGAGCATGAGTGGAGGTTTGGCAATGTGAGGAGTACTCCTAAGACATGGTACCAATGTGACCGGATTGTAAAATGTAACCGTTCTGAATCACAATCAGCAATACCGCCGTGTAAGATTAGGTCCTAGGCAGGAAATCACAGCACCAATCACAATGAGCGTACCGTTGTTGTTATGAAATCAGTAGACCATGGAACACTATACAGTTCAGAGTGCAGTGCAACTTTGACATCAATTTGGCCAATGAAATTTGTTTTTTCGAAATCAGTAGACCGTGGAGCACGAATTAATTTTTTCGTATACAGTTCAGAGCGCTGTTTTCAGGACAAAATTAAGTGGTCTTGTTGTTATCTAAATCATAAGATTATCATTTTTATTCAGAAATGCGCAATTTATTTCAGCTGGCCAAAATGCGTAAAAAGCCAAGATTTTCGACCCAAATCTGAGTGCGGAGTTTTGCTTAAATAAATGGAGCAACTCTGCAGAAATTGGAGTGGTTGGCTTGTCTGTCTATTGCAGCAACATGTTGCAATAACAATATGTTATTCAAATATAGCAATAAAATACATTGCCCACCTGGGACTAAATTGCTTCAGCTTTTCTTAATATGACACACATTATCTCATATCCAACTTAATCTTTCTTTATACAATGATCAATATTAGGACCATTATTTTTTAATGTTTTTGTTAATTCATTTCCCGAGGTAGTCCAAGGTATATGTGTAATGTACGGAGGCGGACAATACAACCATTCCTTGAGGTTCTACTGATTCTGTTGAACATCAAAATGAACTTCAAACAAACTTGCATTTTGTAACAGAGTAGTTTTAACATTAAATATTAACAAGTTCATGATATTTGGAACATCTTACCTACTCCTTAAATTCTCAGAAATTTCCCTTAGCTATTAAAATATTTAATATTAAAAAAGTAGTGACTATCAAATATCTCGGCATAAATTTTGATTGCAACTTACCATGGTCTATACATACTGACAAATTGTCATCTAATATATCAAATAGAATTGGTGCCCTTCAACCTGTCAAACAATACTTGCCTTTTAAGACAACCAAAATGCTTTTAAATGCACTTATTATGCCCATTTTTGATTAATTGTGACTGAACTGTACTTGGTCTAATACTACTAACAATCACCTAAATGAACTACAAATTTTAAATACTGTAGGATAGGTAGAATTCTACTATCAGTTGACATCAAAACTACCATCAGCGAAATTATGGCCGAGTTGGATGGAAGCCGTTTCTGATAGATGGAATGATCATCTCCTATTTTTAACTTTAAAATGTAGAGTAATCGTCCCACTTTACGTAACAAACTTGTATTTAACAACAATAGTCACAGTGTACAAGAAATAAATCAAACAACCACCTAATTTGAAATGTGTACAAGGCAAAAGAACATTTCTATACCAGACAACCAATGCATGGAATAATCTTCCAAACAACATAAAGACTAAACTTAATGAAGTAACCTTACATTCTTTTAAAAGTTTAATAACAATATTTAAAACTACAGTAGTATATCCTTTATTCATTCATTTGCCTTTTACTCTATGTTCATAGTTAATTTTTTTTTTCTGCTTTTAAATTTACTGTATATTATGTTCTTTAGTTTAATTTGGTCTCATTTGTATCTTGTTTTGTAATAATTTTTAGTGATTTGTTTACTGTATTGTGATTTTTTTTGTGTTGATCTGTGATCCACTTTTGATAAGCTGTTACTGAACTACTTCTATCCCATTTAATAATGTAGTAGATAAACCTTTTATTTAAACATTATAGATTATTTTGTAACACTGTACATTTCTTTTTTACCTTCCGTCCATTTACCATTGATTTTAAAGTTTAATTCCCCAGCCTGGTATTTGTAGTGCAAAGGTGGGCTAAGTACTGCCTGCAGGCTACATGTATTCAAACAGCAATTTTGATAAAACAGGTTTGTCCCTCTGATCTATTTTTATGCCCATCCTGTTGTATAGCAAACTGTATTTTGTTGAGTGTTTTTTTGCAATTATTATTTTTTTTTTATCTGAAACCAAATTTTGTATGTATCACATTACAGTATGTTTTTTGCATTACAAAAATAAATTTATCTTGTATTCTAATCCATTGTAAGTAGTGGGGAAAAAACCACAAACACGATAGGAAGTAGTTAATGTAAAAATACATGGTAGATTGAAATCTGGAGTGTAAGGAAGGACAAGATGATGTCCTTCACACATTACCAATCAAGTGGGTAAAAGGTGACTTATGAATACTACATAAATAGGATGGTTCTTTGAAGTGGCTGATATTATCATCTATATTCACTAATTCAGCTGGCATGTACAAATGTAACTGGGGCTATGATTCATATTACAGCCAATAGCTTAGGATGTTTACATTTTCAACAGGCAAAAATGGATGAGTGTGCATTAGAATTTCTATTTAACGAGTGAACACATGAAAGAGTTCACATTATATAGATATGTTTATAGCTCATGTCAGACAGTACATTAATGTGTATTTAATACCTTATTGAAATCTATTATTGTTTTAAAAAAGAAAAAAAAATACATTCCACTTCCCACAGATTAGAATAAAAGATTCTCACTGTAACAGAAGAGTATTATAGAAGGAAACATGCTCAAATTTGATTGTCGCTTTTAGTTACCCAGAGTGACTAGCCTGGTTTGATTATCTTCATAGAGGGCGATAGTCAGTTTAACCAACTGGTAGATCAGAGTGAACCCCCATCACCAAGTCCCCTCCCTCTCCTACAAGAATCCTCCTTACTTTACAAGTGTTAAAATAATATGGCAATTTGATGTATTGTTGTGATGAGTATGGTTCTCAAAATCATGGAAAGAATGCAATGACCCCAAAGAAATAGACAGACAGGACTGTCCCGACCACCACTCATTCATTTGGGTTAACTTTATTAATGTTTGAACTACTGTTTATGTATTATTAAATGCTGAAATGCAGTCGACAAAAGTTGCTCTTTATGTAGTTTCCTGCTTTTTCAGTGTGTTGTTGAATGAACTGCACAATGGAGAAGATGGCTTCTTCGACAGATTCATTTTGACTTGATATGTGATAACTTTCAAGGTGTAATAGTCTGGCTGTCAGTTTTCAGTAATATGTTAATGTGAGAGCGACTGGGAGATAATAGTTGAGTTCAGTTGGTCTAGGTCATTCTGGGACTGAAATGATTGGTGAATGGATTTCCTGTACGATGGAACAATATGGGTGTCAATCAAGTTTTGGAAAAGTTTGGTAAATGATGACTACTAACAGAGTATAAATAGAACAAGAGAGCCAACTACGTTCATTGAGAGCGTAAAAAACAATACACCATACACAGCTAGTGTAGGACGCCAACTAATGCTTTTATGCACTTTTTATTACCCAGTACTCCACCGCGCACGGTGAGTTTATCTGTTTATCTGTTCTCCACAAGATACAATAATTTGTTTTCTACTTACTGAGTTCATAGCGGGCGTATTTCTATCGCGCTGCACTGGGTAATAAAAAGTACATACAACCGTCAGTGGGCATCCTACACAGGCGTGACGTTTTCAAAAATGGGAGTACGCTCTCTCGTTCTATTTATACTCTTTGCTACTAGTTGCTAAGCACATATGTACTACATCTAGCTGGCTAAAAATGAAGCCAAATGCAGGGTTAATCTTCCAAATAACACCATTTTATGAGATTTTAAATGTTCATTAAAATCTTATTTCCCCATACTTAAAATTGTATTTACATCCATATTAACACAAGCTTCATTGTAGTAGTATATTTGCATCTTACTTCTTACTTGTATAGCACCTTTCTTTTCAGTTATAGACAATCCATACATAAGACGAACATGATTAAAAAAATCTAAATTTTGTATGTCACGCATATAAGACGACTCCCACCCAATGATTTTTTATTGTAATTTGCTATCTTATTAAGCCTTGTCTTTTATACGCTACGGCAATAATGATAATGACACTTATTAACTGTACATAGCACTGCATCTTCATACAGTGATTGCGCATTCATGATCAAGGCACTTTATAAAGAATAAAACCACCTAAAGTAATATCTAAAAGTCTTACAAAAA